TTAACTATTCTTCAAGTGTCCCATTTAAACGAATATTATAAATAGCAAGATTATCGAAATATTATCACATGGCGAATTATGAAACCCATTTTGCATTTCAAAATAATCAAAAAACATGCTTTGAGTGTTTACCCTTATAAATGAAAGCAGAAGAAGGAAGCGTGAAGATCAAACTTTTAAGCAACATTTGCATGAAAAATGAAAACGTTATGCATATGGATCTTGAGATAGATGTGGATGTTTCTCAAATTATTAACGAATTAAAAAAAATGATATCAATGAATTTTTTGGCAAGTACAATCAGCTCCAAAAGTTTATCACGGCTACACAAGGATAATATACAAATCAACGATAAAATAGCAATAGATGAATACAATTGACTCTTCATATAAAAAAGGTCACTGGGTCCAGCCAAAATCCTTCTTATATCGAAACTTTCTTATATAAAAGACTTATAAACCTTTCAAATAGAACTTGTAAAATCTTTCTTATGCCAAGAGCTTCTTAAATCGAGTATATCGAAGGTTTCCTAGCATCAAACACGGACTTGCACTACTATTGTGGCTGCGATGCCCAAACGCCAACATAAGGTCATTGCACTACTATCACAGCCATAGAGTCCAATTGCCAACCATTATGCCTCTACTTCTGAAGCCATGGAATCTAATCACTAACATGAAAGACCTTGCACTCTACAATAGTTGTGGTGCGTAATCATAAAACATATAATCTTTACAACTACTTAATTTATGAGTCACTGAGCAAAAGGGTGGGTAGGGCGGGACGGTAGAGCCAGCCTTCACTACAAGGCGAGCGATAGCGAAAAGAAAGATACCTTTTCCTACTAACTGAAAGCCCTTAAATAGCCTTGAAAACAAACTTGCCTATCATGGTAACTCATATTTTCAGCAATCATATGTTATCATAATATTAATCAGAAAATACTTGCATCAAACAAGATACAATAAGGACTATTACACAAAAACTCGTAAACATCAAAAGGACAAGTTGAGCATGTGATCCAATAAAGTCATCTGATTTCGCAATAATGATCGCCCTGTCACTTCGTTGACAGGCTTTTCAGCTCTTTGAAAATTAAGGATAAGCATTTGAAAAAATTTTATCGTTATGAATATATAATAAAAGACTATACATCACAAGTCGATGATTGTTCCTTGACGTAAAAATTTGTATTATAGAGATGACAATAATTCATAATAATGTTTTACTCCAAAATGCAGACTTTGACCGCAAATAATGTTATTATTACTTTAGATAAATAAACAACGAATTCCATAGTTTGTAATTATTTATATTATTGCCTACTATATCTCAAAGAAATAGAATTTTGTTTTTTAAATATTAATAAGAAACATTATGTTTATTAATAAATACAAATAAATTGGAACAATTCATAGCATTCGTAAGAAAAAGTTCATGACATTTTATTTGCCAAAAAGTTGTCTCAGAGAAGTATTGTCAAAGAAATATTCATGAAGATCGTACTTTGCTCTGATCTTTTCAAACTCTTCTAGACGTTTTCCCATATGATTACGTAGGTACGGAATAATACCGGGCACATGTTCCCACATTTTACCCCAATGTGGTTTAGCATCATATTTCTCCATCCACCTTTTGGCTATTTCAATTGAAAAATCAAGAAAACCTTGAGTACCATTAACAGATAAGATTTCCATTAAACAGTAATACGCATTTGGGTCTTCATCATATGTCGGGGCGAGCAGACATTTGGACGCTTTATTGATACGAAATTCTGCAGTAAGATTTAATGGATATTTGTTATCTGCAGCTAATTCATAAACCTAAAGACAAAGAAAGAAATTTTAATATTTTACAGATAGATATAAATTATGTCGCATAATTTTTATAAACATTACCCGTTTAATAATATAATTGAATTCTTCGATAACATTTGAAAAATCCTTAAATTTTTGTAGTATAATTGTTAGTTTAGTTTATACTATAATCAAACTCATTTGCTTTAAATTAGAGATTGGAATTGATGAATTTTGAGCTCCCATTGATTATAGATATATGGCTGTAAATTACGGTCATTTATCAAATGATAATTTACCAGGAATTTACCACTTACAACTTTGACAGTGCTAACGCTAATAGTCGAATCATATTCAAATCAAGCATGAAATTATGTGAATCACAAAAATTGGCAGAAAAATTTCCCACATCATTACGAAAATTACGGAGCTAGACGGTTTGCAGAAAAGTGTGATAGCGGAATAACGTCTTTATTTATTTGATATCTCTAAGATTCTCCAAGAATCGAAAAATCTACTTGACTCGCCTGATTTCTTGCAAACCGCTATAATTTAAGTTTAAAGAAAACAAACTACAATATGAAATCATGGCCAATATGCTACTGTGACAATTTTCATAATGTGCTTTTTTCTTATAAACCATTAGGTTATTGTGATAAACAAAAAGAAAACCGGATCTCTTGCAATATGGGTGCCACCTATTCTAAATCAACTGATTAATAATACATTTTATTAGTGATGTCACCTATGCTGCAAGAGATCCAGAAAAACATAAAGCCAGAGTAAAGAAATTGTTTTCAACTAGAAGAATTGATTATGGCGTTTTGCAAAAAGATGTGACTCCATGGGTTTTGTGATAATGATTTAAGGAAAATTCTAAGATTCTAAGTTATCTATTTATTATATTTTAATTAGTTATCTTTATACTAATTTAAATCGGAAAATTTATAGAATCTTTGACCTTCGCATAATATAGTGATCTGCAGATGTCTCATCTTTTTGCAGAGTGCGATAATCGATTTTTAATTTTCAGAATCAATTCTAGATTCCTATCCATATTTCAAAGTACTTTGCATATATCAAAGTATAAAACCAGAATATCAAGCACGCACGTAAATTTAATTCTTGTATGATCGACGCTCATTAGTGATCTATTCCAATCTTTACATTAAACATTTACTTACATGGTTAATCTTGAAAGCAAACTCAACGTCCATACAAGGAACGTTATCGATACCGTGCTGTGCAAAATTTGAGAAAATTAAATATAGTTTATAAATATTTTATATAATATTAAGAAACATACCTGGTAATGAATTGCATCAGGAGCTTGTAAAATAATTTTACTTTCATGGCCATAAGCAATATTAAAGGTAAGATTAGTAATGTATGGAGTAGAGTCTGGGAACTTAGTCATATGTTCGTAAAGATGATCCCCAAATTTGGTTTCAAAATTTTGAAAGCCTGCAAACGATTTCACTTCGATTGGAGTCTCCGTAACATTCAAATCGGTTCTTTTCCAAGTTTTTACCCAAATTTTATCATTATTTTCTTCAAAGCCAGCTGTATTGAACGGCCAATAAAAAATTTCAATACTATCACTATTCAATACATCATTTTTAAGATTTGCTGGTTTCCAATAGTCTGAAATTTTTGGGAATCTATCTATCATCATTAAATTAAACATTGGTTCAACTTTAAGAGTGAGCTTGTATATAATTCCTAAGAGACCTTTAGCACAGAACCAATGTTTAAAAAACCGATAAGTAAATAATTTCATATATATTTTCTTTTTGTTTAAAAGATGAAAAATTACCCAAACTGATTCTAGCTGCATTCATTTCGACAGGATCTATCTCATCAGAAAATTCATGAAGTTTACCATCGGATGTTACAATTTGAAAGGAGATTACCTTATCCGAAATATTTGAATTCGCGATTCTTGCACCATGAGTACCAGTCGATACAACGCCGGAAGTTGTTACAGTGTCCAATACAGACGAAGCATCCATTGTTAATGGAGGGTCATGATTTCTTAACTTTTCATCAAGATCTTTAAAATATACACCTATAAATTCAACCGGATAAGTTAAAATATTAAAAAGCAGAAACAATTATTTGTTAATCTTTAAGAATTCGGTCCCCTATCTTTTCCCCGACACAACAACTTCCTAACAATCACTTTGCTGGGAAGATGGCTGTTGAGAAAGTAGTTATCGGGGAAGTAGTTGTCGGGAAAGTATTGTCGGGAAAATATTATTGGAGAAATGTTGTCTGGAAAACCTATATCGAAGAAACTACTCGTCAGCAAAATGGATGTGTCAGGGGAACAATTTTCGGGGAAGGGTTGTCGTAGAAAACTTATATCGAAGCAACTATTTGTCTGCGAAATGGATGTGTCAGGAAAACGATTGTCGGGAGGTATTTTCGGTGAAAAATGCTGTCGGGAAAACAAATCTCGGGGAAGAGATAGGGAACCTAAGAATTCTTCCCCTTACCTGCTTCGGTGGTAACTGTCCAAATTTTCAACTTTTTATTATATTGAATTTTAATATCATTCAAATCATTAACTATTACCAAATATCCATTAGTAACGCTAAGGCTACTCCAAGAATGGCCAGCGGCAGCACAACGGATTTTCTTATTATTTTTCTTTGCTTTTTTTACTATCACTTTTAAATCATGTAAATTAACAGGTCGAAAAATTTCAGCGGGAGTGCATTGCTGATTTTCACCCCAATTATGCCATTCTTTTTCGCCAAAATGTTCAATGCTGTTTTTGATCTTTGTAAATATATCTTTTATGAATGTCATGTTTGACAACAGTAGCCGTGAAGAAACTTTATCTTCGAATGTTTATTAATATATATATATATTTCAAATTATAATTTGATGTTCGAATTAGGAATTGCATACTATTGGTACCAAATATCATGCGTTACCTCCGTTATCCATATCTAAGCATTAGGGGTGGATCTCATTTCTTTGACAGCTATTTTATCTATAAAATTAACCGACATCACATAGGGTTTGAGTTAGCATTTTATTAGCTGTAAATATTTATTGTCACGGCTGATGCTGATGCTGATGCTGAATTTCACGTGAGAATTCGGGCCGGAAATTGCAGATCGCACGTCGATCATGAAAATTCAAAACAAACGTCTCTTTTGTCAAAAATCACTAATTTCTCAAAAATCTGCATAAGGAACAACACTTTATACATTAATAAAAAGTTTTTCTTGAGCGATTTTACTATATAACCTCCTAAATTCTAACACTAATATAGGCGATAACCCTAATCACAAACGAACTTAAAGAACTTTGTCGTGAAATTTTCGATGGCGATACTTTGTACTTAGGTAGTTATTGAACTTATCTTCATTTCAGTTAGGGTTAGTGCTTACGATATGGTTAGGTGATAGTTGATATAATAGCAAAATTGTCCCAGAAAATTTTTGTTAAAATACTAAAGATTGTTTCCTATGCAGATTTTTGAGTTATTAGCAAACCGAATGTCGAATGCTTGTTTTAATTTTTCCTGATCGACCTGCGATCTGCAATATCCGGCCCGAATAATCATGTGTTATCCGGCAAACTCTTATGATCATAAATTGCCATCTGTATTGTTATTTTTTTTTCATGTGTTACAACGTAATCATGATTATTCAAATTAAAACTCAGTCGATGACTCCCTACCAATCATGATCATAAATTGCCGGATAACACCAATATTGGGCA